ACTTTTCAATTAACGTCTATAATTTAAAAGCTACATTTTCAAACGAGAAAAATATATATTAAAGCAATTTCTTTTCTTTTTCCACAAAAGAAAGCTAAAGATATCAGGATCTAAAATAATCAGATACCGATGAATGAAATTTTCAACTACAACATGAGAGGCTCAGTATATGTTAATAGCGTATGTTTTGTGAAATATTCTTGGATTAATTAAAAATTAATATTACAATTACTAATAATCAACAATATTAATAACACAATTAATTAATATTCCAATGAATAATATTAACATTTAATTATAACTAATATCATTAACGAAACTCGAATATTAGTATTAAATTAACTCAAGAACATTTCACAAAAGCTTTTCCCGTTACTTTTCAAAAATCTTAAAAATAGGACTTAAAAATATAAACTCTATAAAGTAAAGCGTTTTGGCTTGCAAGCATAGATACCAATAAACAAATCTACAGTCTTACTTATGCGATCATTGATTTTAACACTATATTTACGGACATTTACTGTACAGTTCTGTACAGTACTATACAAGTTTGTTCTATAGTTCTTAGAAAAATTGATATTCGTTAATTTAGGTGTTGCGAATTAGATGCTTATCAGTAGAAAATTAAGGTATAATATATTTTATGTTATTTACATTATGTTGTTTACATAAAATAACATAAAATAACATAAAATAACATAAAATAATATAAAATAATATAAAATAATATAAAATAATGTATTTGACCGGTTCGTAGTACGGTTAGTGTTAAAGTAATATTTTCGTTCGTGATTTGAACATAACCAACGGGATCGGTGTTTTTGAATGTAGATGAAGAAGACGAACGTCGAAGTCGTGGCCGCTGGTCCGGAAGCTCGGTCCGAGGTCCATCCCGCATGACCAGGCAAAGGTCGTACGACGACGAAATGAAGAACACGGAACAAATGAAGGAGCCTTGCCTGAAGCTTCCAACGATGTTGTCGAGGCGGGCCTCAGCCTACGATGTTTACACTGCACCAGGAGTCGGAGGTCTTAATCCCATCGGCATCCCGGCCACTCAACCAAGGGGATCAATCTCGGCACAAGGTAGAATAGCTTATCCGTTATGTTCATGAAATTAGCATATGTTTCTTGATCTGCAGTTGGCCATGTATGCAACTAAGTAGTTAGTGTTGTTGTACTGTTGTTGAATTTGTAAATGCGAATAAGAAACGATGGATAGTAAGCGAATAAAAAAATCCAATACAAGAATAACGAATAATTTGAATAATAAATGATTGAATAAAGGTTCATCATTTATTTGTTACTGTTAATCAAATTAAATTTTATTCGATTAATAACGGTATAAAGTGTAATACATATAAAAAGTAGGTATATACAAGTACATATGTTTATTCATCGAAAAAAAGATGTTCTAAAGATTGTACTAGAAAGGCTCTCCTAAACCAAAGAACTAGGACTAGAAAATTAGAGCGTTAAGGAATCTAATATAGGAGGTGTGTCAGTAAATGATGTAACCAGGAAGGAAGCGATCGCTCATGCGAAACTAAGTTGGAAATATGGAGTGGAAAGAGATTGGTTGAAAATGGTAATTTTTGTTCCACTTGGAAACGGAAAGTTTATTCGGGTTATTAAAAAGTAACATCTGAAAGTTAAAAAAATCTTACAAGCAGCTTACTTTTAACTTAATTAAAGTTTTATCAAAAATGTGTGCAAATATGAAAAAGTATTTAGCTTGTTACAAAAGTTTCCGGAAAGTATGAGAAAAGTTACATATAAGTTTGAACTAATGGTTTTATTGTTTTCCAAAATATTCTTCTTCAACGTTAATACATTTACCATTAAGTTCTGTCAGCACTTTATAACATTAAAACTGTGAACTTTTACGAAAATAGCATAAACAACTGAATTTCGAATTCCTGAAACTTTTGCAGCAATCTACATAATCAATAGAGACCGAACTAACATAGCATTCATACTTCATCTTCATGTATAGTGAAATTTAAAAAAAGATTTACTTGAAATATACATTGTTTAAATTAATAAGACAGCAAAAGTGAATTTTTAAGTTTACAAATACGTGAACTGTAACGTTCTGCTGTGCATATCCACGTCAGTTTTTATTACGTGCTTGAAATGAGGGCGTGCGTGTATAATTATGCAATACTCACGGCAGAGTGAGTGCATTAATTAATTCCGTTTTAATTAATGATGACGTGTCTAAGCAGCTGATAAATTGCGATTTTCTATTACGATAACGCGACCAGCGGATTTCAATTATTAATCACGTTGTGCAGATCTCTTCAACATCTGTATCATCGGAGATCAAGCATAGCTTGAACGAGCATTTAATAATTTTCAAATAAATATTCTCCGATATGGTCGAAATGAAAATGTTTCTCATGTTTCGACTGCTTTTCAGGTAGCGAAATTTAGCGAAACGGAATAACGTTAAAGTGATAACTGAAAAATTTGTTTTCATTGCTCGTCGAATATTTGCGAAGAACTTCGAGTGTTTCCATTAATTAGAGAATATTTTAAGTTTACTTTTTTTATACTAAGTTCAGTTTTTTTATACTAAAAAACTTCGCTTTTAGCGAGAATTACCATTCTTTTCGCTTTCATCGAAAGTTAATGTTCACGCGTTAATTATTCAATATTAATCCAACATACTGTACTTACCTTTTTAAGACAATTTTTCGTTAATATTTTACTTATTTAATTATTGATTGTTAATATTTTACCATTAAATGATGCTTTAATTCTTTTTGTTCATCATACGATTTTAGATGTTTTAAGTATTTTGATATTTCAGTTTTAGATATTAGAAATAACATTCGCGTATCGTTCCAATTATCGTTCGATTTCTTATCACACGAAATTCTTAATTATTCTCGTGAGAAGTAACGCCAGTTTCAACTAAGTATATGACCATGTTATACTTTGGCTGCAACGGTTATCCATAAGACAGTTTCAAAAGGATTTCCACTCGATTATCTGCTTCATGAGCATTGCAGTCCTTCCGGTAATACAAAAGCTCCGCGGTAACGTAATCGAGTCCTAGCTCCTATAGGAAGCAAAGTTTCTAGTTGGTCACAGCTGTATTTATGAGAGAATCCAAGCGTAACTGTGCTTATTTTTGGTCACGTTGCACGCAAAATGTAACACGTGGACTAACACGAAAATCTTCAGCGTTTTCGGTATTATTTATTCTTTTGTGGCGAAGATAAAAAGAAACAATTATTAATTATTTGATATTATAATTCTTACGTTAAACTATTATCTTTTTGTTTATGCAACTGAATATTTTTATTCGATCTCAATCGTGTTACAAATTACAATTGTTCTCAAGCAATTTGTAGGTGATAGTCAACGTGTTAATTTCTAGCATTTGATGAAATATTAGTCACGTTAACCCTTAACAGTAGAAAAGATTCACTATGTGGAAATGTAAACAAATTTATTTTTATTTCTACTTACTGTGAGTATTTGTTGTAGCGTGTGACGTACTTCCTGTTTTATTATATTAAATGTTCTATCAATGTTTTCTCTACATTTAACCAAGGTCCTCTTGTTTTATGGACAGGGAGAATATAACTAAGAAATTGTCGACTGTGAAGAGTTAATATCTCTAATTCATTTTTACATATTCATGCGCACATTGAGTCATAATTCTTTTATCCTTTATAAAAGGAAAGACGTGCGGTGCAAATAGTCTATAAATTTTGATACTTTGACGACTATACTTTTTATTCAATGTTTAATTGCTAATCATTCCATTGATGTCTTCTGAAAGCTCTTTCTTTCAACTTTAACATATTGCCTAGGTATTAATGAAATAATCGTTACTTCAATCGCAATATGCTATTATATTTATTCAATTTTATTTGTTGAAAAATGATTAATCAAATAAAGTGTGTGTAATTAGGTATTATGTGTATACAAACTCGAAGCAAGTTTAAATTGATTTAAATGGTAAAACAGATAGTAATAATCATGAAAATCTTCATGTTTCTTATTGCAAAATAAACAATATTTTCAATGTTTCGCTTCGATTATTTGCAAAAGAAAAATTACAGTAAATATTATTCCAGCGTTTTGTGGTTTTGTGATTTGATGTTAATATAGCTGCACAGCGTTTTCGTATAGATTTTATTAAACGAATGCATTTGATCGATGGGAATAGAATGCAATCAATCTTCTATTACTTCCTACAATTCGTTCATATTTTTTAATCCGGATTTTAATCCAGACTCTGTGACAGCCATTTCAATGCAGTAACTTTTTTTGTTTGAAAAATATGTAATAATTTCCGCTGAGCGCTTTGGATCGTTATTAATCTGATAAATAAATTTGCGATCGAATTATTTTTTCTGCAACAGGTAACAAAGAATATTTTTAACAATATTCAGTAAAACAACATGACCTGTTGTTATTTCCTTGAATGATATCAGTGATAATAAATTTTCAAACGAACACAAATTCGCCATCTATTTTTATAGTTCTATGAATTTTGTACTATATTCTGTAGTGAGCTGACATTTCACGTAGCTTTTGTCGCACAATGCAAGATTATTAAATTTACTTTCTTTAGTGAACATTTATAATTTTGATCGCCAGTTCAATTAAGATCGTCCTTTGCAAATTGATTTAATTCTACAAAATTAAATTTAATTCTACTAAATGATACTGTATAATTTGGACATCGATTTCATTATCAATATATGGCGATATTTCATTGTAAGTACAATCTGCGGTTTTAAAACTGTTGGTTTCAGGAACCGGTGAATCTTTGATTGCACGTTTCATTGGTTTCCGGCTTACCAGAAATATTTTTAAATGTATTGTGAATATTAATATGCTTTATAACTTTTTAACAAGTTCAAAGGAATATTTCCTTGGTTTTTAAGAAATTGTACTTGTTATCGTTATTGTGATATTTTGTTATTCCTCTTATACATACTTAGAAACTTAAATGAATTGCTGATTTAATTTAAATATACGAAAAAACCAGTGAGTATGGACTTTGAGAAGAATTTAAAGAAATGATTGTCAAAAATCAATGTTAGTAGTGTCTGTAAGCAGTATGTCTGCAATAATATTATAGATCTCAGACAATGAATTTTCTACAATCCAGAAAATCAGATGCGTACAAATTATATAGCATAAAATAATAATATGCACTTCAGATATTTAAAAAATATAATGAAGTTATAAACATTATTGATCTTAGAATACAGATTAATAAAATCTAATAATTATTTGTATGTCCTTAAGTACACATCATTAACTGTACCTTCAAACTACGAAATATTTTATTGTTCTTGATGCTATTATCTAACCTTTTTGTAATTTTATGGAAAAACGCAAGAATGTAGAGTATAATTATAAAACAAAAATCAAAATCCATAATTTGTTGTCCTTCACTAATCTTCTTAATTTAAACTATAATCTCAAACAATGAAATTATAAAGAATTACAAAATAAATAATTTCAAATATAGTATAAATTTTCATAAAACTTAGATTATATAAAAGATAATCTTTGAATAACCCAGTAGATGACTTCGTTTTTAAATTTAATATAATAACATTATTACTTACAATTAGATAACAGAAATAATAATTGTCGAAAAAACATCACTTTTCATTTCAATAAAAGAGAACAGGTTCAGGCAAGAATTTTCATTGACCCAGGTAACAGGAAACCAGTGATGCCGTACGAAGTCGGGGCAGAAGATGAAAGCATGATGAACTTGGACGCTGCCCCAATCTCAGTACCAGTGGTTTCTCCAGCGGTGGTGACTCAACCACCAATTCTGGTTCCAGATGAGGAACGACGCAACAGACGAAAAGGTTCTCAGTTGTAAGTACCCATCATGTTACAACATACTTGTTAATTCTATATAATAAACTATTCTAAGGTAGCATCTCGATGAAAACATTCAACGACAAGTTAATACACCCCAAACGACACATAGCTTTAGGAATAATTAATAAGTCAAATTTAAAGAGATGCAAAGAAAACGTTTATTGAGTTGAATAGAAAGTTGTATCGATAAATTTAATACTAGAACTATCGTATCAGTCAAAATGACTGGTTTTGATTTTTTTGTTTTGCAATTATAGATATCTTAAAAGTATTGAATATTCGAAATGATCTTGAAAATAAATAGCTTTACTTGAATACTATAATGAATATCTGAAGAAACTGAAAGTAATCTATTGTTACAATTTTTATAGGGATTACATACTAATTGTATTAAATGCTTAGTAGTTCTAGTGTTAAGGAGAAAGTAAATATTTATTTTATAAAAAAAGTAATTTATTTCTCAATCTAAGGTATATTGGTTTGATAGAACTATTTTTCACCTATACTTGGAAAACGAAGTCCTTGAAAAAATTTCGTTAATTCGTAAGAATTGTGCGAACAACATTTTTTATTCATCCCAATATAATAAAATTTGTTACTATTATTCCATGCCAAAACACGATTACACATAAATAAGTGACTTAGGTTATTGATTCTTTGCAATTGTTAGTTGTAAACTTACAATTAATAATGAACTTATTGCTAGCAAATCTATATTTTTTAATGCATTAGAGATACGAAAATAATATCTAATAAAAATTGAATGGTACACGGCAGCATACATTTTGGCTGGAAAGAATACTTTTTATTTTATTACTCCCACATTTTGACGATTCTACATTGAATGAAAGTATTCTCAAGGTTGTTGACAATTTGCATTGGAAAAGAAACCAATTGAATCTCTTCTGTGAAGTAGAGATACTTTAATAAATGAGATTGAGAGGACAATCAAGGCTTACATGGTTATTCTAGCAGCTGAATTGAATGAAGACAGAATAAAATTATACAGGAAAAGGGTGCAGGAAAAGGAGGTCAAACGTGCTCTTCAACAAAATTAAATCGACCATGAAGCGTTCGATAGCTTACCAAGAAAAAACATTGTACCAATTTTCAATCTTCCACCTGGAAGGGGTAGTTATAATGAAAAATGGGATTATCAGGTTTGATTGTGTTTTCCTAGATTAATCGCATGGAAAAATCTTCAAGTAAATCTAGCATACTACAGTTACCAAGGTATATGTACATTGTATTAACGTAAATTTTTCTTAATTTATTGCTTGATCTTACGATGAAGCAAGCTGCGGCGTTAGCGAAGTATTAAAATAATTTTACGAAAATAACTCGGCTTAAACTTGAAAGCCGCGACAGTGAGAACTGTGTGACACCGACTCGTGAAAGGCTTAAACTTCTAACCGTCTAAATCTCAGTACATGCGTGCTTAATAAAAATGAATCAGGTTTCTATGTAATTTAATGTCTAACGCAACTCTTCAAACGGCAAATACGTTATTAATTCATTTTATGTTTCATAAATTAATTAAATTTCTTATAAATTACAAAAACAACTTGCGTTAAGTAATATACTTGTATTTATACTTAAAAAATATGTAATTATTTTTGTCTGTATAGAAAAAATCAATTTATTTGAACGAGACAAGTATAAGATCAATAAAGAAGTTTTTTTATAACTAGAATACATATTATATAATGTGAAAGGTATATTAAGTATAATAAAGTATTTAACATGTAGTGAAATGATTATATTAAAAACTTAAGTTGAACATTACGTTAATATACAATAATTAAAATAAAATGTTTGGATGTGTGTTTTATGTTACAAAGGGGCGAAGTAATATTTAGTTTTAATGTTATATAAAACGGAACATGAAGGCTACTGCTTAAAAGTTCTAGAATTTCACATCCGAGCAGAATTGACGTACAGTATTTTAAAACTTTGTTGTCTGGTTTTAATCAAAACTTAAGTTTGTTTACGAAATGAGTTAACCATCGAGGGAAATACTATATTTTAAATAGTACTGGTCGAAGTTTCTTTCATTTCATCATATTGTATTGTAGAATTTGCTGAGATCAAGTCAATATTCTTATTTTCTCAATTAAAAAAAAACACAGCCAAATAATTAGTCAGACTAATTTGCCTTATTGCCAATTATGAAAGTTAACCTTATATCACTAATTATGATTATTATTATCAAATGTTTCTTAAAACTATATCTTTTCGTGGCTAATAAAACCGGTAAATATTCAACTAATCGATATATAATCAATTAATCTCAACTTACTGAATTTTTATTGAAATATTTATTAATATAATTATTTTCAAACAGCGTATTAATCGTTTTCTGCGATATTCTATTGATGTTGAGTACGAATATAAAAGTACTAATTTTTCAATGTGTATTTTGAAAATGTTCCCGTTTTTAATCGAAACATCTGCCAGGCATTTAAAGTATAATCCGCATTAAACCGATTTCACATGATCGTAGAAATACAAAAGTACGTGGAACGGTATTATTTTAAATGAGATCCGTACCTTGTTGTTTTAAACATTCTGTACGTTTGAATATCGTGAGGCAGAAACTCGTAACTCTTACGTGGTGGACGTGTTCAAACTCCGTTTCTATCTTTCCTGTATCCCGGGAGGTTCTCTTTCTGCAAACAGAAAGTGTTTTCTCTTTGAGGAAATAAGATAAGAGACCCAATTTTGGAGCATAGAAGAGAACTGAATTTTATTTCGAGGAGAGGAACACCTTGTAAATGTGTTTCTTTACTTATCTTTACGTATTGTATTGCATTTCACTGGCGTCCTTTATATTCTTATATATACATACACTCTCATTCACTAGTGTTGAAATATGTGCTACCTTTCACAAAAGAACACAACGTTTAATTAATATTTTTAATCTTCGACGACTTTTTAATGTTACGTTGGCAAGAATTGAGTGAAACTATTATTATTTACGTTTTATTATATTAAGCTCTTATTGTACTATACATTTTATTATTCGTTAATTCACTACATTTTAAATATGTTATTTTTATCATTTTTGGTCTTTGACACTTTTCAACGTTATTTATTTCATCAGGAGAGAAGGAATTTTGAATAAAAAATGTACTCAAGATTATTGCATCAAACCATTACATGTCTTTTTGACCGAAATAATTTCCCTTTTAGTGAAGATTTCATCGTGAAAGCTAATTATCATCATGATTTCCAAGGCGCAATATAATAATTTCGAGCAGAAAAATCCTATTGCCGGAAACAAGGGACATACAAGAAAGAACAGTAGAAATGAATATCTGATACATTGAGTGGAAACAGAAAATTAATCATATTAATATTATTTTATACCTTTTCACAAACTTTGAATACTAAAAGTTCTTCCAGATTTTTTAACGATTTCAGTATACAGATATCTGACAACAGAAGTTAAGATTAATAGAATTCATTTCGAAGTTAATTTCTCGTGTAGGATTGCATTGTGGTTACATTAAGCCAGTAATTGTTCCGAAGAAACGAAAGTAAGAAGTAACATTATAATGGCAAAGGGTGCATAATTCTCAGGAATCGCGTCGCGAGCACTAAATTGCCATTTCCGCTGGCTGACTGTTCACTCTTTCAATGTGTTCCGCTCTTTTCTTCCCTCGTAAGGATGTGCTCGCCTGTGAAGCCAGCAAAAAGTGGAGTAGAGGGCAAACACGACGTTCCCGCCACTAGAGAAATAATTAATGCCGCACCTATGCACGCAAGTGACTACAAACACATCTTTCTTCTGTTATAGCCACGTCTTCTTTTTATGTGTGCGTTGCTATCGCTGCACCATGGATCTGCTTGAAATTATCTCGAGAACTGTCGCGATTCTTTCAGTATTGGAATTATTAATCGCAAAACCAATTGCTACTGAATTTTCATTAAGTAGTAAATAACTAATAATTATATAAATTATATTATAACTACAATTGCATTTAAACGCTTCTATTATATATACACTGTTGGCAACACGTTGAATGCCATCGACCAAATTGAATTACTATAATTCAGTCAATTAAACGATGATTATTTAAGCATTTTTATATTATAAATAATGCTACCCAATGCAGTGATATTCGACAAAATATACCTGCAATAACAGTAAAACAATGCAATGGAATAATTTGATATTATATTTTTTTCATTTTGTGTAGTTTGTTACGTGAAATCGTGCGGCATTCAACGTGTTAATTTTTAACTGATAATGACTGATACTTAATATGTAAATTAATAATTATCTTATAATTGATTAATTATATAAAGAAATGCACAGATTTTTTCAAATTAAACATTGGGTTCACATCAGTGTCGCGATATTGGAAATCAATAAAAGAAATTTATTTTTGTTTAGTCTATTCCAGTTGTATAAATTTGCTCATACAAGTTTGTGTTCGCAAAATATACAGTTAAGGAATACGGAGACTATTTATCTATCTTTACATAAAAACAACTCTATGCACATAGATATATAGAATGCTATTTAAAAAATATACTTGAAACTTCGTAGTAGTCTTGACAAATTTCATTGTATTCCATATAACTTTGCGACATTCTAAATTTTACTGCGGAAGTTCTTCCCATTTTTATTAATAACAAAAATATTTAAATAATTCTCTTTTTGATGACAACATTGTATTGTACAAAGTGTTCAATTATCTGCAGAAAGCAATTTGTGAGAAAGATTTTACAAGCCATTACGAAATGAAAATCAAGGGTAATAAAATTGCGCTTCGAATTTTATTTTGAAATTATTAACGATCATCAAACTTATGAAATATGATGATCCATCACCATATCCAGAGACAGAAAACGTGATATTATTAGTGAATTTAATGCATTACTAACTTGAAAAAGGAATCAATACTGTAATGTTTTTTCATTCTTAATTTTCACTTTACGTTGTCATGGAAAATCATCCTTCAAATTTCCTTTTACATGTCATCGAA